CATCACCATCACCATCACCATCACCACCTTCACATCATTCCTGGGGCTCCGCCATCACACCATCAGCCGCAGCAGCGTCATTCGTGGCACCCTCACCGTCAGTACTGTTAGCAATAGGGGTGCACGTGGAAGCCCCCTGTGTGATTGGTGAGCTGCAGGTCTTTCCTTACACCCCTGGGGGCGAGCAGATGGAGCAGGGGCCAGGCCTTTCCCTCTTCACATCTCTGGTGCATGTGAGCTCCGTGGGCAGAAGTTTGGGAAAAAAGGGTCCAGGGCTGCTGCTGGCTCTTCCGGAAACAGAAAACAGCACATCCTGGGAAAGAGCCTCCGTGCTGGTTTATCGCCACATCCTTTCCCGGGTCACGCTGCACACGAGCAACAAGTCCAGCTCCGCCCCGGAGTCTGCAGTTCGGGACCGAGACGCTCCCATGGCCATGCAGGTGGGCCCCGGCCGCCCTCGCTAGCCAGGCTGTTAGAAGGGTGAGGGGATTTGAGGAGGAGGAGGAATCCGTTAGACACGCAGCTCACCAGACAGAGGTGGTGAATGCCACGCTCTCCAAGGGGTGGATGGACATATTCTCTCGTGGAGCTGTTCTCAGATCTCAACTGATCACAAAAATAAAGATGGTAAGTTGGGCGCCTGGCAAAGAGGCCACCATCTTTGCGCTTCAGTCAAGGGAAGACATTGAAAACCCAGATGCCATCCGTCTTCATCGCCCTCCCACAGGCGAGGGCGCTTCCACACTTTCTCGTCCCTGTCCTCCCTCCCCAGAAAGGGGCAGCTCCGACAGATCAAGGAATCAGCACAAGGAATAGCCTTTTCCATGGAACACTTTTGGGTTTATTTAAGAAATAACGTTGTTCCTCATTTTTCTATCACCCCAAGAATTGGGGCACCCCGGTCACAGACTTGTCCGAGTTAGACGCCTGCAGGGGTCCCTCTCCCGCTGCCCTCAGCAGTGAGGGAATAAACCACAGAACTCCACTTGTGCTGCTTGTCACACACCTCCCTGCCTGCTTTCCTGTTGCTGCTGGGACCAACCCCACAGCTTCAGGGGCTTCAGCACACGCTTCTGAGTTCACAGTTCTGGAGGTCAGAGTCCTGACCCCGAGCGGGCAGGGCCGCTTCCTTCTGGAGCCTCTGGGGGGTCCATGTGGTGCCTCTTCCTGCAGGCCGCCCCTCCTTGCTCACGTTGACTTTGGCTGCTGTCACCACGTCTCCTCTCTGACTCTGGCCCCCCTGACTCCCACTTACACGGACCTTGAGGTTACATTGGGCTCAGGTGGGTCATCCAGGACTGGCACCCCCACCTCAAGGCCCTTCACCTCATCACAGCCACCATGAAAGGTGCCATCCTGGCAGCGTCTGGGGATTCGGACGTGAATGACTGGGGGCCATTGTGCTACCTACCACTTCCCCCCTTACTCCCACTCCCTTGTCCAATAATCTTAGAAAGAGTTTTGTTTTTTAAAAATATACATATGTATATTTTATTTCAGAGAGGAAGGAAGAGGGAGAGAGAGAGATAGAAACATCAACGATGAGAGAGAATCATTGATTGGCTGCCTCCAAACCAGGGATTGAGTCCACAACCTGGGCATGTGCTCTTAACTGGGAATCGAACTGTGACCTCCTGCTTCATAGGCCGACGCTCCACCACTGAGCCACGCCGGTCGGGCGAAAGTTGAGTCTTTATTTTGGCTTTAATAGAGGACTGCTCAGGCAGTGAATCTAAGGACAGAGGCTGGGGACTGGGCAGCCTGCGTTGTAGCCCTAAGCTCTGCTGTGTCATCTGGGGTTACTGCTGGGCAGCTTGCGTTGTGGCCTTAAGCTCTTCTATGTAATTTGGGGTTACGACTCAGCAGCCTGCTTTGTGGCCCTACGCTCTCCTATGTAATTTGGGGTTACATGCATACTCCCTCGGAGGCCCTTTTTTCCTTCATCCATAAAGCAGGGGTCTTAGGCTCATATCTCAGTTAAAGAGGAAAGTTCTGTATTCACGTGTGAGAATTTCTCAGCGGCCGGGGTCTGCCTGCTTCAGGGAGGGTGGCAAGTGCTCCCAGGCTTCTGCCGAACAGACTCGCACGGGCCCGGATGTACTTACAGTGGGTGCGTTCGTTTTGTTTCATTTTTATTCTTTTTGACGTGTTTTTTTTCCACGTCTATACCGCATTGGCACGCTGGCAGGGATGCTGTTCAAGCGGTGCTAAATGCATTTATGGCTCCTCCAGGCTTGGGAATACGGTTATGCCAATCTGGGAATTCCACGTCTATACCGCATTGGCATGCTGGTAGGGATGCTGTTCAAGCGGTGCTAAATGCATTGGCCCCTCCAGGCTTGGGAATACGGTTATGCCAATCTGGGAAGGGCTGGCATATGCTCTGAGCTTCCCGTACCTGATGCAATTATTTCCTGTAAAAGATTCACCATAAAATGCTAAATAAACCTACATAACTGTTAATAACCGTTTATGTCAGTGGAGGACGTTAAATTTTTATGAATTTTGGTGAACATATAGGAAAATCCCTGCGAAAGTGGGATTTTCTGCATGTACATGGCTTTAGCTGTGATAGCATTTCTGCAAACATGTGCCAGTGTGCCGGCTCTGGCTTTTTAAAAAGGATTCTGGGCCCCACCAGCGTGGCTCAGCGGTTGAGCGGCGACCTCTGAACCAGGGGATCATGGTTTGATTCCTGGACAGGGCACATGCTGGGGTTGTGGGCTCCATCCCTGTGGGGTGTGCAGGAGGCAGCCAATCAATGATTCCCTCTCATCATTGATGTTTCTCTCTCTCTCTTCCTCTCCTCCTCTCTTCCTCTCTGAAATCAATAAAAATATATATTTAAAAAGTATAAAAAGGATTCTGGTAGCAATAGGAGCCTTTACTGCAGCAAAAACAAAAACTCCGACCACAGCGAGAGCCCTGGCCACGCACTGTATGCTCGCTGCGGGGCTGCCACTACGCCACGTTGCCGGGTCCGGCTGTGGCGTGACTTTGAGACACAACATGCACTCACCCTGTGAGGTGTAGGCATCCAGGTCCTCACTCTGCAGGCGGGGAGCTTACAGCGGAGAGGGTGGGCATTTTCTGGGGGTCGCGGGGAGCTGACAGCGGAGAGGGGGGCATTTGCTGGGGGTCGCCAGTTTTGCGGGCAGAGGCGTCCCCTGCACATTGTCTGGCTCCGATGCCAGGAGCATGAGGGCTGTGAGTCGGGACTGCTGTCACAGTCTGGGCCTCCGTGGTGGAGCTGAGAGCAGGGACCCATGTGCTGTGGGGCTGGGATGTTTGGAGAAGGGGTTGAAAGAGCAAACATAGCCCTGGCCAGCTTGGCTTAGTGCTTAGAGCATCGGCTATAGGACCGAAGGGTCTCAGGTTCAACTCCTGGTCAAGGGCACATACCTCAGTTGCAGGTTCAATTCCTGGCCCCAGTCAGGGCGCAAGCAGGGGGCAAGCAATCGATGTTTTTCTCTCTCTCTGTTTCCTCTCTCTTCTCCGCCCCCCTCTCTAACACTCTCTATAAAAAAATCAATGGGAAAAAATATCCTTGGGTGAGGACCTGGCCCCAGTCGGGGTGCAAGCAGGAGGCAAGCAATCGATGTTTCTCTCTCTCCCCTCCCCCTCTCTTCCACTCTCTCTAAAAAAATCAATGGGAA